AAGGAAAACGCTTTCTGAATGTCGGATGAGCGGTTCTATTTGAAGATTATAGCAAAACATAAAAACAAAATAAATAAAAACAATTGAAAGTTACCTGCAATCTTTTCAATGACAACGAGGGCGATAAAGATAGAAAATGCGAAGTGCATGAGAAGTCTGGCATTTGACACCAATAGGGCAGGTTTATGGTCATAACTTCACTATCTCTTAAAATGACCGACTGAGGGAAATAGTTCGAAAAGACACAAAAACCATAACGAATATGAATGCATAGTCTTGCCACTTGACAATCAAATTGAAGGGCTGCAACAGTGGACAATTTGGAGCAATGCAAAACCTCCACAGCGCAGAATTGCCGCACACGCGGCGAGCCCGATCGCCGCGTGCGGCGGCAGCCTGACCCCAGGAGGACAAACGCTACACACCCTGAAGGAGCTGCGTAAGGGAATCTAGGCAAGTGACAACTAACGAAAAGTGTTTCGATTGATGATCAAATTGGCCTGGTTTTCTAAATTACAATATATGGAAACTGGCCATTTGAAGAAAAATTTTGTCGAATTTTTGATAAATATTTAAAAGATGTGCTTTTAGGGCATGTATGAAAAGCTCATTTTCAACATAAATGAGACCCGCTTTACGGGTGGGATGACGAGATTTTATGAATTTTCTGTGGTGCGCTTGGATTTGCGAGCGATGCTCTTCTTCGAGAACGATGCCGACATATACAAATACTTTTCGCAAACCGCAGCATACAAAGAAGAGGAAGTAATCGAAACATATCAACTGACCCAGGATGAGCAGGAAGTAGTTGCTAGTGATGATATGGATGTCGCTGATGATAACCCATCGAATGAAAGGAAAGGAAAAAAATCCGTTATAGGAGGTAGTTATCCCATATGCATCGGATTTATGGGGATACCTAACGTTATCTTTTGAGATTCCTGATGATGAAGAAACTTGTGGGAGCTCAGGAGATGAGCCCGACTCGCCAAGTCGCGATACTGTTTCACAGGCTGAAATCGGAAGGCTACAAAGGTATTTGCTAAGGGTGAGGAGCATTGACAACTCCAACAACAGGAATGCTCCGCCAATGACGTTTCTAGGAAATGTTTAGAGCGGAAAAAATGTGCGACACGTGAACTCACATGTGCAGTGTACGAATGTGAGCGTACGAGGAGTTGATGGCCAGTCGACGCCGAATGCTTGAAGCTGTTTTCAGTGCATACAAGGTGTGTTGCATAGGGGTACCCCTTCAATACTCATATCTTCGAATAATTTTCATGGAAATTTTGTGATATCGAAGGAGCAATTTGTCAACGATATCAATGTTCGTGGCATTATGTGCAATGTGGAATTGAAACCGAGCTTGTATTATGAAAGTGGGTCGTCGTTATCAAACTTATGCGAGCTCCCAATGAAAAGTAGGTATTCTGAAGTACTTTCAACTGCTACCCTCTTATTGATAGCCGTTTTTCCAGGTTCTTCGGCGTTCCGTATATGTTTGTTCAAATGGCGGCTTTTCATTCAAAAGTGAGTCATGAGTAGAGCCATAAGCAGTGTTTTTGAGTTAGAGTAGCGGGCATTGGCGATGCTGTCAATAGCTCAGTTACGGTTATAGCAGGTGTTTCTTCGATATTGTTGTTATTGTTTCGTTGTTATTAGTGACGAAGTCCATATATTTCTGGTTGTTACTTACAATGATGCTTATCGGGTATTATTGTTGATTTTCTGCTTTGTTAAATGTAGTTGTTAAAACTCGAATTTATTGATTTCGGTTGGAGAGAAACACAACCACGGTGTGTACGAAGTAATGCGATTGTCATTACAATAAACAAGTGATATTAGCAATGAGAGAGCAACCATCAAAATTATACGCAAAGAAGTGCTACAACACAACAAACAGCGAACTACTATATTACATTAACAAATTAAGACTAACGAAGACAAAAAAGGCAAAGAAGGCAACAAATTATACATGTTTCAAGATGGGGTATTCTCATAATATAAATAGCAATTTTAAGGCATTTTCACTGTTTACAACAACAGAAAACCACTGCATTGACCAGCGAACAAAAAATAGGGAACGACAGAAAGAACCCTTGGTTGATTCCACTATTTTTCGCTCACTCGATTATTCCCCACGTTTTCGCTGGCGAGCAAGGTGAGGTTCAATTTTTTCGGGAATTAATGCATTTTCCAGGGTCGCACACATCACATCACATAGAGGAGCTATCATCATAGTATTTCACACTTTTTACAATGAATTCAGCTAAGCCCAAGACCAAATGCCTTTCGCACTAAGTAGTAGCATTGAAAAACTGCAGCCTATCCCCATAAATGTACAGAATCCACTGAAGACAAGTATCACTGACCAAAGCACTAAAACAAAACAGCCTACTTTCCGAAGCAATGTCAGACAGAATTACCGCACAATCCCGTACAAAGAAGTACTAACATTGAAATAATTTTGAAGAATAAATGAGTGAGTGCTGGGATGAGTGTTAGAAATTTTGTTATCGAATACATTAATTCTCGAAACAGACTTGCCTGGCGGTAATCTAGTCATAACTATTCTGGATCTAAAAAGTTCATCATCACTGAATGCCAAGGAACTGACTCCTCTCTTATAACCGAAGAATATGACGCAGCTTTGTTCTGAATAACTAAAGACTAAAGCTAGAGGAATTGTATATCACACAAACTCACCAGCTCCCTTTCTACTAACCTCGGATCACACCATCGGCATACCAATAGCTTGCCACAATTAGTCTTGTGCGTAATTAGTTGCATGCACGTAGCTTCCTTCGTCGATTCCATAACCCAGGCACCTTGAAGGAAATGATTTTGTGAAAGTTTACACACAATTTTCATTTGGGCTAGTCGCAGGTTCGAACCTGCCATGGTTTTTGCACACGAAGTTGAAAGTATAGGAGTAACGAAAGCAAATGGACAACGTTAAAAAAAAAGATCCGTTGGAAACGCTAACTTTAAGGACATGGAACATCCGCGAGTTTCGTGAACAGCTCTAACTTTCCCCACTGACCCTCCAATCCATTCCGATAGATATGCCAACTTGAGATAACCTTTCTCATTTGTCTTCTGATTTAGCAGTTGACAAAATCTTGCTCAGGAACAAGCACAACGCTACGTGAAGGTATCTTGCTCAGGAACAAGCACAACGCTACGTGAAGGTTCTGCGCAACAACATCACCTTGGTGTTGTGGAAAATGAAAGGGGGGCAATAAAAGGAGGCAGGTTATATAGCACTGGTATTATAAGTTATTGCATTTGAAAAACTGAAAGTTACAATTGAATTGTGATACTATGGCGCAGAGATGCTGGTTTGTATGGCAGATGGTAGATTGTATGGTTTTAGCGCACTAGACAAAAGATTCAAAGGCTACAGAGAGGTACAAGAGGAGGGCAATATCACGGAAGAACAAACGTACTCATGTTCTTGGCGCACCCAATTTCAAGCCAGCTACATAAGCGGTAACCGACTCAGCACCAAAAGGGATTACGTTTCCTTCCACTGCTGGTGTCTGAAATATCAAACCGAAGTTAGATGCTTGAAATATATAACTATAGACTTGGTAGTTCTATTTGTTTCATGGCATTTATATAGGCGACAAATCGATGATCGATGTTATTGCACGCACGTAATGCTTGCGCACTTGCGAATAATCCCACCACAAACCAGGGTACGGTAAATTTCAAGCAGTGTCCTCTTACTGATAGTGGTTTATATCATGAGTGCTTGTTTGACGAAAAACTGCATGTGGGAGCATTAAATCGAGGCGGTTTTAGGAACCCAGTTCAAGCAGTACGTGAACGGGCGTGTTATGCTTCTTCAGGAATTTAGGAGATAAGCCGTTTAGACAGAGTGAGCACCCGAAGTAAGCTTGAATTACCACAATACGCGTCGTATCGAAGCGATTCCGCAATGACAGTCCTATAGGTCATGCTCACAAAGAGACTACCCCAGCTGGACAGGAATCCAAAAATAGATAAGCGTCGCAGCGTCCGCCTTGAATGCTGCGCGCGCAGGCTAGGGGAGGTTGTCCCCGAGTGCCGCGCTAGACTAGGCACGAGGGCACTCCGGCGTGCGTACCATCCTCCACCTCCTACATGTATAGTTGGCGGCGCACAGTATAGTTGGCGGATTGGCTCGACATATTCTTTCTACTTTGAGAGAGCGCAGAGAAAACGAATAGTGGGAGGCGAGCACGCACTTCAGCGCGTCAATGCGTCGCGCAGTGAGTGACTACAGCAGAACATTATAATTCACGCTTTACTTCGGGTGCTCGCTCTGCCTAAACAGCTTAAGTCGGAATTTAGCAACATAACGGCAAATTTTTCATCAACACAGCCAGATCCTATTTTCTCACCTCGTGGGAAAATTAAATATATCAAGTCTTAGAATCCAACGATTCCCATTTACGTGTAGTCTTCAAATTCGCCTGCACCTTCTACTCATGATATGCATATATTGCCGTTAGATAGGAAGTTATACTGTTTCGGGTTTGACTCAATCACGAACACACCCGGGCAATGTATCTCTTGCATTCGTGTAGGAGCACTAAAAGCAAGAAACAGCCCTTATCCCCGCCAATCTGCGCTGGTACTTTGAAGAAGTCGATAAATCATGGAAACATGGTTCTTCAACAGACTGCCGGAGAATGCGAGACTTTTCCAACACATTCCACTTCAGCGCTCATGGCATGGAAAGATTGTAATCCAATACGCCTTTCGCGCACTCGTGACCATTAACGATGTTCAGATGAAAAAGTAGTTTTCGACCTGAAATAAGGTCTCAGTACTAGGAAATTTTCAAGAGCTAGGATCAAGAGCGAAATTTTTCAACTTCCACGACCGGATCGTTTCCCTTCAGTGGGCGTTGACGTTTCTATTTGGGAGTGGCTGAAAAGGGGAACAATGATTCCCCATCGAAGTCTGAATACCGGGCCCTTTATAAAACCATACGCGTACCAACAAAATGGCTACATCCGCTCCACGATGTAGGCACGGACGTGTGCTACGTCGGCACCAGGATGTGCCATTGTCGCCTTCCTACTTCCAAGCTGTCGCGTAGCAGGAGGCGCAAACTAACGTTGCAACACTGCGCATACTATGACGATTTTCGACGCGCGCTCAGGTCCCACTCTCAGTTCTGACGAGTGAATGGAGAAACGCGATTTCAGACGACTAACGGTCTCCACGATCGATCGCATACGGCAATGATCGCGGTTGTATCGCATTTTCCGCGCGTCCCCTTGGACGGTAGTGGGCCGGAATGGCGTAGTCAATCCGCCGCCGTTGCCGTACCCCATATCACCAAGAAGGCAATAACCTGCCACGGTTACTTCACGATTGATGGCCGCAGCAGGTGCGGAGTTACGCCAAACAGCGGCATCATGCACCGATTGGAACCCACTGTTGACGTACAGGATTCAGCCCACAACATCTGCGATGATGCATATGTTGAGGCAGGATGTTCCTTTCCTGCTGACGTACTGCCAGTCAACAATAGCTGGAGTCCTTATCCGGACCAGTGTGCCATCCACAGCACGATCACATCTGTGAAGACGACACTTTGAATTCATCCATCGCTAGTACACTTTCTTGTTTTCTACTTACTGCACATCCTCCCGGTCATCGCGAATTCGTTGAATCAGGCTATGCACCACTCCTCGTCTTCAGGCTTAAATTTAATGAAGCGATGTCTGGGTGGACCAGTGCATCGACAACGCGTAATGTTAGACACCGTTTTTTAGGAGCATCCAGCGGAGTCACCAACAACGACTTGGAATGCATTAGCGCGTAGGTAACTGTGCACACCTGGAACAATACTTCGAAAATAACCGCCACTGCAAAGAATGTGAATCATTTTTGGCTACCTGCATCCTCTTGATTATCGCCCACGATCACCCAGCATTGGGCTCAACAAGTCCATCAGCCAGTCCAGTTGTTCATCAGTGAACCGAAACCTCTGACAAGTCAGAGAATGGTTCATCGAGAGGCTTCTGGGAGGGTCCTGGCGGATGTAGGCGACATTTCTAGCGCGACGGCGACGACCAGCATCATCAAAAAAATCCAGTGGCCTTCTGAACTCATGGATGTGTCAAGCTTAATACCTTTTTTCGGAACACATGGTTTTGGGAAGAAAGACATTCTCGCAGAGAACGCAACTCTATCTGGCTTCTTCCCAGAATGCCAACCACTTCCGTCTTTTCACTTCCAAGGTAGCCTTGTCCTACAGGTCCAGCCAATATTAATTGAACGTCCGTGGATCGCAGCAGATATTGCTTCTAACTCATTTCCTATTTCCGCTCAGCATCATCCACTTCTCTCTGCTCCATTCAAAGGCCGACCTGAGGTTCTTGAAGCGAAGATAGCTTCGCAACACACTCCTAACACCCTGAAACATTGCTGGCGAGTCTTCCAATGAAACCGATAACTTGTTCGAAGTAATTCAAAGCTAGCTGATCCTTGAAAGAAACACTCGCACCCCCCCCCTTCCGCAATTCCTTATCCGACTCGACGGTGCGAACAACTGATAGCATAGAAGCCTTCACTATCTCATCACACCGTGCCAGTTCTCAAATCCGGTAGCATCGCGAACGAAGCCTCGGAGGGAAAGTTGGAAAAGCGCCGCGCGTCACTCTACGGGTTGTGCTAGTATGGGTTTAATTGGAGTGTACTGAACATGATCGAAGTCCTTACTCTTGCAACGTGATGATGGGAGCGATAATTTGGATCCGTATGCTCAATGTTGGGAAGGGGATGGATTCCGATGCTCGATGGTGGAGAAAGTAGAGACTGCTGCAGGGTGTCGTCGCAGATTCTACTAGTCACTTGTCAGTCCTTTGATTCTGTGATTCCATTTTTCTCCTTTCATTGGTTCAGAGTACGAATCCGTTCACGTACAAATTGCTACCTCAAAGCAATATGCCAATGTGGCACAATGTAGCAGGAGTCGCGATCTACACCGCATTCAAAACAGTGAATGGATCGACTGCTACAATTACGACAACACATATGGAAGTAGGACGCGAATCTGATGTATAGAACAATGAAATAAACTGAGAGGATTACAACAACCTGTAGAAATACATAAGCGATATATAAAACTGCAGGACCAGTCAGTGGTCGGCCGACCCTGCGAAACGAAAAAAAGCCCTGCCGAAATCCCCTACGTTTCCCTAACATCCAGGGTCGAAAGAGGAAAAATGTGAGCTGAAATAAAAATGAAAAATGAAGCTTTATGCTTCATCCTTTATAAAACTGCAGGACCAGTCAGTGGCCGGCCGACCCTGCGAAACGAAAAAAAAGCCCTGCCGAAATCCCCTACGTTTCCCTAACATCCAGGGTCGAAAGAGGAAAAATGTAGTCAATATATTCGTCGAACTAAACCTTGCTGGCAGCATGATAGTTGCGACGCACGTGGAGGTGTGTGGACTCTTCCTTGCAACAATGAGGGACCGTTTTCAAGATGGATCATACTTACTACATATAAAGCGCTTCGTCTGTTGTCTGTCTGTCGTCTGTCTGCCGTCTGTCTGTCGTTCTGTCTGTCGTTCTGTATGTCTGTCACGAAATTTCCTAGCTCCTGGGGATCCGCGAGGGAACGGGTCAAGTATGGAATGGGTGGGCAAGGTCTCACGAAATACAAAACACACATCAGCTAAGGAGCCCCGCCCACAGAGAGCGTGGCGTGCATCGAAATGAACTGTATCGAAGACCAAGGTTTAGATTTCGGTAGCAAAACAACCTCGAAAATGGGCCAAAAAGTGGGTAAAGGTGTGCATTGGTAAGTCACATCGAATTAGGGAGACCCATCTACGGTGAGCGGGGCGTTCTCTAAAAAAGCAGTGCTTATGAAAAAATTCGTAACTCGGTTGGGAGAAAGCATACAGAGCAGAAAGCAAATAGTAGGGGAGCAGTGCTAAGGTGTGCCCTGCATACATGACGTGGGCGGAGGCTCGATCATAATGGGCGGGGCGCGCCCTGAAGTGCACAGCATTTTCTACAAGTCCTCTTAATTCGGACCGCTGAAGTCTTGAAGAGCCGGAAAAAGGTGGATAGAGGTGTATGGAGGAGTGGAGGCCAGCTGTCAATGGTGGGCGGGCTTCACCAACGGGGCCGTGTTTGCGACGAAAATTCATAACTCGGATCCAGGAAGTCCCGGAGTCTGGGAAGAAGATGGTTAGAGGTAGGTGGAGGAGTAGAGGCCATTTATCACCGATGGGCGGTACTTGACCGAAGTGGGCGGAGTTTGCGAAGAAAATTCATAACTCGGCTTCAGGATGTCCCGGAGGCCGGGAAAGAGGAGTAAAGGTCGGCGAAGGAAAGGAGGTCAACGGCTATTAGTGGGCGGAGCACGCACCTAAGTAAGCGAAGTTTTTCAAAAGTGTCGTAATTTGGTTCCAGGAGATCCCAGAGACTGGTGAAAAAGGGTAGAGGGCGGCGAAAGGAAGGGGGCCAAATGCTTTTGGTGGGGGGGGGCACGCACCAAAGTGGGCGTAGTTTGCCACGAGATTTACTGTCCGGAAGCAGTCCGGAGAAAGGGAAAAAGAGGATAATGGCTGACGAATAAAAACAGGTTGAAAGCCGTCAATGATGTAGCGGATAGAATTTAGCTGAGTATTCAGATATTCGTGGTGATCAAGCCAAATGTGAATATTTTCGTGCGCCATCAAAATTCCGCAGATCTGTGTTGTGCGCGCAATGCGTGCTGCGCCAACTAGTAATTTGTATATGATAGGATATGTAAGATGAGACTGTGCTGTTGCACATTAACAATGAAAGGCTTATTGAACAAATGGACAAAGTTAAGCTGCCTTGTAACGTTGCGTTGCAAAACCTGAAGCGCTTCCAGCAATTATTTCCCTTTAAAGCTGCAGTTTAGAGGGGGGAGGGCGGGGGAGAGTGTCACTCCACTGAGCTCTTCAATACTGAGGACAAGGATGAGAGGTTCCATGACACGTAGTCACATTATTTGATTACTTCTGATATGGACTGGCTGTGATCCAAGGGAATGCTTCCTGAACTAGTAGAGTATGGACATGCTTTCCTAGGCGCATAGCAGTCCTGGGTGGACGATCATGTGCTATTAGGTTGGCACGACTGAAATGTCGCTTCCGTTTTTGCCTTTGTTTCTCCGTTTAAACACAATCTCTTAGGATGAGAGATCATTCATTCGAGAGAGCGATTCAGCACGCATATTGTGAGATCTTAGGCACCACTGAACAGATGTTCTTCGAGCCAAAACTTTTGCTCGAAGATGACTGATCATAAATCATCGTCTCATTGAATATATTGAGGTAAGGAAAAACGGCCAACGAATCCCACTCATAGTGTGCAAAACATTGAGCAGTAACGCTTTAGCTCTGATGCACTTTCAACAATGGTTTCAATTCTTCCAAAACCGAGGCAAAGGACCTACTGACCGAAGATGTTGAATTTTTACCTCTACTTCTAGATGACGGAGAAATAAAGAAAGCCACGAATCGAGTTCTTAACAAACCGCTCAAACCTGATATATAATATTAGGTCGTCTCATAAATACTGTCGTTTTTTTCCAACCGAAAATTTCCATCTAAATCCCCATGCTTATACATCAATTCATTTGACATTCGAAAGAGAATTGTCTGTTCTACAAAGGTTTGTGTTCATCTTCTATCTACGTTCCATGATTTTCAAATTTTTTGCCTGCGAAATGGGAGGTCCCGCCGACAAAAATTGACCAAACCGACAACTAGCTCTAACTTTATTCTCCCTGTGGAGAAATCAATCAATGATGTACCCTCTACTTACTCATGACCTCTTCCGAAGGTTCCACCCTTAGTTTGCCGAAAAAGGTTTGCCCTGTTTCTTTCGACCGCATAACCATCCATGGCAATTTTTCAAATTGAAATTCTTCCTCTGAAACGCTATTTTTACATCAACAGTGTATCTTTATGTGACCGTTCTTACTGCTCTACTCTTCATGTTTCTCACGAATTAGCTCGAATTTTAGGTGTTTAGGAGTAAGGTGCTTTATCCACGAAAATGACCGCATTTCTCTGAACAAAATTATCCTTAAGAAGATGATAAAATCAACCAGGCGTACATTCCTAACTTAGTCATGACTTGTTCTTCAAATTCTACCAGTTTATCAATGTCTAGGCTATAAAAAAGTTTCGACCTAGATCTCAGGTAACGGTGCTTGAACGTCGAGTTCTGGTTGAAAAACTAGGCCTGAAAATGGAATGACGCGATTTGTTGGGAAGCCCAATAGTGTGATGTTTAGAAGAGGTCATGCATAAGTAGAGGGCACAGTATTGACTGATTTCCCCCAAGGGGAGATAAAGTTAGAGATAGTTGTCGGTTTGGTCATTTTTTGTCGGCTGGACCTCCCATTTCGCAGGCCTAAAATTCGAAAACCATGGAATGTAGATGGATGATGAACACAACGTCTTGTAGAGCAGACGATTCTCTTCCGAATGGTATACGAAGAAATGTAAAAGAATGAGGATATAGATAAAGATTTTAGGGTTGAAAAAAGCGACACTACTTATGAGACAACCTAATAGTACCAGTTGGGTTGTGCGCGCAGCACAGT